GAGAACAAGCCATTTGCAAATAATGAAGTCGCTATTTTAGGAAGATGGATCGCAGCAGGGGGGCCGGGAAGCTGGAGGCCCAGAAACCTGCCCGGAGGCTATTGGAAAGGTCGGCTTCAGAGCTGCCCACAAGTGTGAAAATCTATGAGAGCATTACCGGGACGGCCGCCCAGCTTTGTTTATTTTCATCCTACAAAACACAAGGTCAGAAACAACCTGCTCAAGTACTTTCTGCTGAAATTATTTTTTTTAATTGACACTGCACTTCACACAAATATTCACTCATGTATTCAACCAATAGTTCTGGGGGACGCTGTGCTAACCTGAAAGCAAATCATACTTTTCCTTTGATGTGCATTTTAGTTACACAGATGCTTGAATTTCATTTGGCTTTAAAACGATCACATCTTCAGCTTCTCTGACCGTCTGAGTATCTTCCCAAACACTAAGATTCCCAAATTCTAGGTTTCTATTGAACCTATAACTGTGAGTCTATTTCCTGATCCAAAACCAAATGCTTTAAGCCCCAATCAGATTCCCCTTGAATCTTTCTGGCAGGCAAACCTTCTCTATCTGGGCGAGTTCCAGGCTCAGATGTTAAGTTTTCTCTGTGGGTTGAGGTCCCTGAAGCAGGCCAACAACATTTAGCCTGGAGAGGGTGTGACATCACTGCATGGAATAAAACGCTGCGTTCTTCTGGAAAACTTCGCACTCAGTGCCCCAGGCCCTCCCCGCGGCATAGCGTACGCCCTGAGCTGATATTTGGGGAAAGCTGTTCCAAGCAGGTGGAACAGCCTGAGCAAAGACCTGGAGTCAGGGACAGGCAAGGCCAGTTGCACAGCCTGTAGACAGCCCTTCCTGCTTCACAGAGAGGTTTTCTGTTGGGCAGGAGTAGAAATAAGAGGACCCAGGAAGGATGGGGCTGGAGCAGGGTCAAACACTCAAAAGCCCACAGGGGCCAGCAGGCCAGGTAAGAAAGACAAGCTGGCCAGGTAGAATCTGGAGCAAATAGGAGAGTATGGCTCAGCTAGAGAGGGTGACCTCTGCTCGGCTCCATCTGAGCGAGGCCACATGGGCATGTGCACAAGGTGGACAAGTCTTCCAATTTCTCAAGAGAAGTTGGACATTTTAATCTTTATGTTAAATCCCCTGATTTTAAGGCACTTCTAAATTTAATTTTTGATAGTGACATATTGGCATGTTCAAAGAGTTAAAAATGAAAATGAAATTCAATAAAAAGTCCTCTTCCCACACTCAGTTCACATGGTTATGAAGTTCCTGAGTATCCTTCCAGAGTTTCCTTTTTAAAAATATATATATATTTTTATTGATTTCAGAGAGGAAGGGAGAGGGAGAGATAGAAACATCAGTGATGAGAGAGAATCATTGATCAGCTGCTTCCTGCATGCCCCCTCCTGGGAATCAAGCCCACAACCCGGGTATGAGCCCTTGACCGGAATCGAACCCGGGACCCTTCAGTCTGTAGGCTGATGCTCTATCCACTGAGCAAAACCAGCCAGGGCCAGTTTCTTGATGCATGTGCACGCAAACACAGATGTGCCTTCCACTGTCCCTTCTCTTCTTTCCACAAAACGTAGCATCTGTACACACTATTCTGGCTCTTCCATGAATAACACACCCCGAAGATCCTTCCCTATCAGGACACGGAGAACTGCCCCTCCTCCCCTGCACTGTACAGTAATCCAGCATATGGATGAGCTACCCGTTCTCTAATGAGATCCTCCCTAGTCCGCTCAGAGTGTGAGGGCTGGGATGGAGCAGCACCTGCCCAACCGCCTCCCCCAGACCCGGGGCTGGCAACCCCAGCGAGAGCCCGGGGCTGCGAGAAGGTAAGGCCTGGGGCAGGAAGACTCAAGCTCTCCCCTGAAGAGTTCAGAACTGGACCAGCTCGTCCACTAACACAGGTGGAATTCAATTAAGGCCACATGGTGACGTGGCGGTCCACTCTACCCCAATAGCTCGTGGGGGCATTCCTTCAAGACACTCTAACATTTTGCAGTGCAGTCAGCAACGGCCCCCTACAAGGTGTTCTGAAAATGTGTGGGGGCTTTTACATGATCGAGGGGCATTGCTGGTTCACAGCGGACGAGTCCCACACCATAGTTTTTCTTCATTCTACACTATTGTCGTGTCTGGCCAAACATTCCTGTAGGTGGAAAATCTATTTGTAATTATTTAAATCCAGAACTGAAATCCATTTACATATAAATGTGAACTTGCCGTTCCCGTGGTCTTGCTGTATACTGAATTTGCTAGGAGGGCAACTACTGTGTAAGCCGGCCAAAGCCTGACCGGTTTTACCTGGAGCTTTGCCAAGGGGTGCTCACCTACGGGCAAAGTCAGGTTCACAGTATGAGTCAGTATGAGTCCCTACGTCCACACTCCTGCCTACGTCTGCAGTCAGGGCTGTTGCATTCACGGTGATTCTGGGCATGGAGCAAGAGGGATAGGAGGGCCCGGCCGGTGTGGCTCAGTGGTTGGGTGTCGACCTATGAACCAGGAGGTCACGGTTTGATTCCCGGTCAGGACATGTGCCCAGGTTGTGGGCTCAGTTCCCAGTGGGGAGCGTGCAGGAGGCAGCCGATCAATGATTCTCTCTCATCGTTGATGTTTCTATCTCTCTCTCCCGCTCCCTTCCTCTCTGAAATCAATAAAAACATATTTCTAAAAAAAGGAGAGGGATAGGAGGGACCCAGACATTTTTAATGTATCTATATTGTTGAAGGCATTACAGATGTCCCCCCTTTTTCCCACTGACCCCCTCTACCCGACACCCCACACAGTTCTTTTTAATGGTTTCATAGTATTTTGTTCTGTGAAAGAGCCATCATTTATTTAATCAGCGCCTATTGATAGACATTGTGTTGTTTGCCATTATAAATAAATGTGTAATTAATATACAGATGTAGGTATCACTGTGCATCTGTGCAAATAAATCTGCGAGATAAAGTCCTAAATGTGCATATAAAAGTTCTAGGTAAGAGGGTAGGAATTTCAAATTTTGAATAGATATTGCCAAATTTCCCTCCATGACACTGTATGAAAATATCTATTTCTCATACTCTCTCTAAGAAACATTTCAAATTTGGATAAGCTCATAAATTTTTTAAAATGTCTCATGATGGTCTTAATTTGCAATTTTATTATTATTTTTTGTTAATCCTTACCCAAGGATATTTTTTCCATTGATTTTTCACAAGTGTGGGAGGGAAGGAGGGAGGGAGGGAGGGAGGGAGGGAGGGAGGGAGGGAGGAGAGAGAGTGGGAGAGAGACAAACATGGATGTAAGAGAGACACATTGATTGGTTGCCTCCTGAACATCCCTGACTGGGGTTGGGGATCCAACCTGCAACCCAGATATGTGCCCTTGACCAGAAATCAAACCCATGACCATTCAGTGCCTGGGCTGGCGCTCTAACCAGTGATCACACTGCCAGGGCTGCAGTTTTGAAATTATGAGTCAGGTGCATATCTTTTCATATGCTGTTGGACATCCACATTTTTCAATGAATTTCATATTTATATTCTTTATCTTTTTTCCACTAATTTTCTTATTCATATCTAAAACCTCTTTAGATATTAAGGAAATTGGTGTTTTTTCATCTGTGTTCTACTTTTTCCCCCTACAATCTTGTTCTTTGTCTTTTTCCAAACATACAAAAGATGTTTATTTAAACAGTCACTTATATTATTTTTCTTTGTCTCATATTTGGAACAGATTTTAAAAGGCCTTCCCCACTCTAAGATTACAAAAATACTTCCCTTTTTTATCCTTTAGTTTTATTATGGTTTTATTATTTTACATTTAAAATTTGATCAACTTGGAGTTTTGATATAGAAAGTGTGGTATGGATTCAAGAGGCCCACTTGTCCCAACGCCATTAACTGAATCCTTTACTTTTTCCTTGGTTGTCTCTGTCACTCATCACCGAGTCCTGCCTACCAGCCGACAGGGACCTCCTGCCACCTCAGCTGGACCCAAAGGCTCTGGCCCAAGCGCCACCGTCAGCCCCAGGGTCTGTCTGTGCAGCATCCGAGACTGCCTCCTGCCTGCGGGCTGGACAACCTCCCAGCGCTGGCAGCTGAGTCCGTCCCACTGCTGCAGTCTGCCTGGGTCCCTCCATCCAGCCCCTTCTGAGCAGCAATCCCAGCAGTGACCAGCCACCATGAGAAAGAATAATAGTGACATGTATTGGCGCTTGCTGTATGCTGGACAAAGTCTAAGCACCTTATATGTATGAATGCATTAATCCTTACAATACTATGGGGTAGCTACTATCACCATTTTAGAGATTTAAAACACACACACACACAGCCCATAATTCTTAGATAATTTACACAACATTACCCAGCGAGTCAATGACAAGTTCAACCCCAGCAGTGGGCCTCCAGGGCCCAAGCTCTTCATCTTTACACTGACAGCTAAAGAGGCCGGCCCAGGCCTTCCAGAAAGGCAGCTGCTTTGCATACACCAGGCACCTTCAGCCTAGACCTCCTGCCCTCTTGACTCGACCTCTGCCTGGAAATCTGAAATGCCAGCAACGATCTGCCAGGAGGCCCACTCATCCTCGAGGCTGGAGCCGACCAGGGCTGCCCGTCGCACGAGGGGGATAAATCCCAGGCCTTTGAACACTCGGCCCCACACACAGGGGACCGTGAAATCACCAGGCCCCGTGACATGAGGCTTCCCTGCCACCCCTCCCAGCCCAGCCCATGAGGCATTTTCTCTCCTCCAGTTTCATCCGAGCAGTCTACAGCCGTGTCTCATCACAGCCACGACCCTGGCCCCAGCAGTCTCCTGGCTGACCTTTTCCAGGACCTCAGAACCTCATTAAAACAGAAATGACCAGTCAAGTCCAAAAGCACCAGGAAGCCATTCTTCCCACCAGGCACTCTCAATCTCTCCCTTTCTCTCTCTCTTTCTTCCCGCCATTTACTCCCCCGACTCCCTGCACACACACACACCCCAGATGCCCTCACCTGTCACGATGGGGTAGGTCTGTGGCCCAGGCACGCTGCTCCCAATATCGGCAGGGGTGGGGCTGGTCAGGTTGGCCTTCATGTCGTCCAGCCCTCCAGCCAGGGAGGCCATGGCTGAATACTCAGGGGTCTGAAAGAGATTACAAAACAGAGACAACTCAGCATCGAGACTCCAAGCACCCCAGCCAAATGCCACTGCCACATGCTGGGCTCAGCCACCTAGCTGGGCTGCCATGCCAGCGCCAAGGCCTCCAGGGGACTCACGGACGCCCGGGTGTTGAGAGGGCAAATTCGGCTCAACAGAACAAGACCGTATCCAGAATCAGCGATCCTACCCAGGTGAAGAGGCGGGCAGGACTCGGTGCCGCTTCCTAAGAATTCAAACCCCGCTCCTCTGTGGCCTGCGGGCTTCCCTCGCCCAGCCCCAGCCGCCGGAGACAACCATCACCAATGTGGGGAGGGAGGCATCAGCACCAAAAACAAGGCAGAAATAAGAGCCTTGTTGCCAAGAGGCTGGAAGGAGCCGTTTCTGATTCTGTGCTCTTAGACATACCAGAAGAGCCGCAGAAAAAAGTTGAACAAATTTGGGGCATCATCCCGTCCAAACCCTCCTTTCACACGAGTAAACTGAGGCCCAAGGGGAGGAGGGCTTTGCCCAAGGACCACAGGGCAGAGTCCCAGGGCTGGGGATGGTTCACCATAACCTCTCATCCCGAATTCAATACGTCAAACCAGCTGACAGGTGGCGAGTGTCTGGGAATTCTGGAACCTTGTAAACACCTGTATGAAAACTGCGAGGCGCATGCGTCTGATTTTCCAAGTCCGGGCCAACCATGTGCATCTGGCCCATGAGTCACGCTCCTGGTGTTAAGCCATGTCATGAAAGGAAAGCTGGCCATGAGTCACTTCCTTGGCATCCAAGCCGCCGTCAGAATGGTCTCCAGAGGAGGCGGCAAAGATGCCAATGGGTCTTCCCATTCAAGAACGGACTGAATTACAAGCATGAGTGACAGGTCTCTTCCACCCAACACCCAGCCTATTTTCAGGTAAAACAAATATTTGCAAACACCTAAGCCAAAGAATGTAGCTGTGCATGCCAAGCTCTGGTGTGGGGAGTTCCCTCCAGGACCCTGGCATTGTCAGTGGAAGACACAGCCCTGTTTGTCCAGAATTATGTCCTTGGCAGACAGGGGCAGGGAAGCAAGCGGTCTTCTGAAAGGACCCTGATAGGATAACGAGACCGAGCCACAGGGACGGAAACGGAGGAGCTCTAGGCAGCGGGGACTCGGACTCGGGCACATTCCTGGCGCTTTTCTCTGCAAATAAATTCGAAAGTGCTTCCTGGGCAGCTCCAGTGCCAACCAGGGAGGATGGCAGCTGTGCGTGCAGGAGGTGCTGCGGGCACAGCACCTGAGGTGGAGTCCCGCTGAGGACAGCTTGTCCCGTGCTCCCAGGGCCCGTGGGTCCTCTCCCGCACAGGCTGATCCCGACACGCAGAGAGCAGCAGAGGCCTGGAGCCAGCCCAGGCGCTTCTCAGGGAGAAGGACAAGAGGGACACGCCTCCCCGACATCAGGCATCACTAGAAAGCTGCAGTGATTAAGACCGTGGGGGATTGGCACAGGGACAGCTAAATAGACCAATGAAACAGAAGCGGGTCCAGAAACTGATCCGTGCATATGTGGGAACCCTGACATATGAGAGAGGTGATCTGTGCATATGGGGAACCCTGACATATGAGAGAGGTGGTGCACAAATCAGCGGAAGGATGCTCTGTCTAGTAAACAGCGTGGGGTAGCCGTTATCCATTCAGAAACAAGGAGGGAAAAGAAATTGGATCTTTACTTTACACCAGACACAAAAATCAATGCCAGGCGGATTAGAGACCTAAATGTGGAAGGCAAAAGCATCTAATGTGGTCAGCTCCAGGTCCAGCCAAAAAACTTTGGATCAAGTCTGTCCTTCATGAAAGAGGAAACACGTGGCCCTGGGCTGCTCACACAATGTTCTCAGTCACTGCGAGGACAGTGTTGGCTCCCGATCATCTCGCTGCCCTACTCCAATGCCTCCTCTGCCAGGAAGTCCTTCCTGACTACCATTCCCCAAGAGGCGGGAGGACTGTTGACCCCGACAAGTGGTGCCAGGGCATAATCTTCACAATCGCGTAAAAAGCTCACATTTATCAATCACTTACTCTGTGTAGGATCTTGACCTGTATCGTCCCATTTAATCCTTGCAATCACTCCATGCGGTAGTTTCTATGTCACACCCATTTTACAGATGAAGAAACTGAGACTTCTATTACAACGGGAAAGTGGTTTGCCTAAAGTCACACATCTTCTAGGTGTCAGAGTCTGGATTCAAACCCAGGTCCATCTGACTCTAAGGTCTTGACAATCTTCCTAATTATTTTCATACTATGATAGGCCCTGACCCTTTAACAGATATGGAATCAACTTGCTAATACCAACAGCTTAACCAATGAAATCAGAATGGAGTGGACCTGAAAATATCCAAGGGTCTCACACATAGATTCTGTTTGTGAATCTTTGTTTCCCACAAAAGTGGATATGTATGTACGGGGTGGCGGTGAAAATATATTTCTTGCTATCGGTCACGACCAGCATAGTCTTCATTCCACGCAGCAGGGGCTGTTGGGAAAGGTCCCTGTGTAGACTTCACCCTGCACGCACAGAATGGGACTTGGTCTTGGCGTGAGCCTCCTCACTTGCTAAGGTGAATCTTGGAAGCAGCTCTTTCAGTTCATGGCTATGTGCAAAGACGGGAGATCAAAATGCCTCTGAAGAAGGTCTTTTCCTAGATGGTGTCTTTGGAGGGCCAGGCAGCCTCTCAATCAACAGTCAGCAACCTGCACCCCTCCCCACCCCACTGCCGACTTTTCCCCTTCCTGACTCCAGGCTGAACATCTGGGTCCGCAAGAGAAAGCTGCTATTTCCCTCAAAAAAGCAGAGCCATCCCGGGTTTAAGAAGATTACAAGAGAGTGGCCATTAGGGACATCCTGCCTTTTAATTAATGTTCACACGGAAGGGCCTTTTTGCTATTTAATTTTGTTTTTTGTCAACAATCTCACTATCAAAGTTTTTCTGGTCACTTCAACAGTTGAATTTGGATCATCTTTTCAAGGTACAAGGCCTTCAACTTGTGTTACACAGGAGGTGGGAGATCCAACAATCCTATTGGCTGCCAGAAGGTACAGTGGGCTTCCCTGAGAGCTGGGCCCAGGGCTCAGCAGGACTTGGAAGCCAGCCCTCGCTGCCCTTTGCCGCCTGTGGCTCCCACTACTATCCCCTCGCAGGGCTGGCCAGAGCCCAGTCTCGCTTCTTTGGTGGGACCCACAGCTCTTCCTCGGCTCCTGCAGGAGTCAGGGGATGCTGTCATTTAGTTTGGGTGTGTGATGATTCCTAAGTCCTCATCAGTGTCTGTCCCGCTGAGCTGCCTGTGACTTTTAAAGGCAACTGCATTCTCCCCAGACCCTGTGCTCCCTGACACTTCACTACTCAGGCTGCTCCTCAGCCGCCCCAAGCACAGTCCTACCTCTGCCTGGAGGGCCCATCTCACTCAGACACTGAACTCCTACATTGTCCACAAGACCCAGCTCAAATGCCACTTCCTCCATGAAGCCATTCCTGGGCCCCACACTCCCACAAAGAAATCATAGCTCCCTTGTCTATGCTTCCATACTTGACTGTGTTTTGCCCAGATCTCCACTATCTACCATATATAATGTTTGTCTATCTTCCTCTAGGGTGCCTCGAGGAACATGAAACATCCCTAGAGCCTCCTAAGTGCTTGTTGAATGAATGAATGAATGAATGAATGAATGAATGAATGTGTGGTCCATTAGCATGACATTAGCCACAACAGTAAAATATTAACTAGGGAGTGCTTCCACAGCAGCTCCAAGTGACACACCAACCTTCTGCCTCTACTTCTCCTCAAGTCAGGTGACCGGAAAATACTGTCCCTTGTATATAGCATTAGTTAAAGCCCAGGCGAAGTACCTTCACTGGAATATCAGGCATTCAACATTGGTCAGAGGCGATGAAAGGAAACAGCCATACAAAAACACTTCTTTTTTTAAACAGCCCCTTCCCCCCCCCCATATGCTCATTAGAATATTCAAATTCCATATCAATCCATCCTACAATTCATTACCAGGAAAAACTTTTTTTTCCTGATGAATGGTTAACTTGTCTCTGATTGAAAATCAGGAACATTGGAAACCACTACATATCCCTCTTTGCCTTGGCTGCCAGGAAGCTCAGTCAGATTCAGTGCTCAGTTGCCACAATCACATCATTGCTGGCACCTGGTGCAATGACCTTCCCCTTTCCTCTACAAAATTTCTTAACTTTTTTCAGCCTTAACTGACTTAGATACCTGTAATTGTTTATTTTGCAAGACACCTCAAGTCCTTTGTGAAAGTGAAGGCTGGGAGAGGTAAAAAGAATAACAGAAAAGAAAGACAGATGAGGAGAGAGAAACAGAAGAGAGAAGGCATTATTGGTGCCTTTTTTCCTGGTTACAGGAAGTTGAGGGCTGAACAGTGGGGTGCAGAAAACCCAGGAATGCACATGGGCACACATGTGTGTGTTGGTGCACCCATGCACTTGTGAAAAATGCTCCCTCCCCCCTTGCCCATTGACAGTCACAAGCAATAGTTACGTTCCACATCCCTACTTCTCTGAGCTTTTGGAATTCTTTCTTAGGATGTCATTTTGGGCTTCTGCTCCCTTCCCATCAGGGCCCCCTGTTGCTGTCCTTGACTATGACCCAGGAAGAGAAATAAACTGAGGTCGCAATTAATATACTGTTCACTCCAGTGCAACCAGTTGGGATAAAACTTCTCTGCCTACTGCCGCAGACTCCTGTGAGACCTCAAGGTCAAGACCACCAGGTAGGCACACCCTTCTCACAGACACCACCTTCCAGATGTCTGAGCTAGAAGGATACTCAGGGTCATCTTTCCAAACCAAGAAAAACTGAGGTCCAAGGGGAGAATAGACTTCCTTAGCTTATTTTATCTGAAGCATTTATGTCCTTTGACCCCATGGTAGAAAGGACAGTAAGCTAGGAGCGATACCAGGGGGTTCTTGCCTCAGCTATACTT